CATGATTAATATTTTATGACAAGGTGTTATTTTTATTTTGTTTTTTTTATATTTATTGATACAGTTGGTAAATGTTGTTGGATTTTAATAAAAAAAAAAAAGTTTAATGGCAAAAGTTGTGTACAATTTTTTAAAAATATCAATAATCGTTTCTATTCAAAAAACCTGTTGATATAATAAAAAAATATATAAAAAAGTCATAAATAATTCTATTGTCACCAACTATCGGGTCAATAGAAACAGAGCACTTAAAACAATATATACAATTATTTATTGAAACTAAAATATTTTTGAATCGACAAGTTTAAAGTACTCGACAAGACCAGTATTTTGATGTACTAATCAACTTTGTAGCTCAAATAGATAAGTTTTTATGATACTTCAAAGTTCAAAAGTGTTTCTATTCACCCGCTTTTACGGTATTAAACTAGTTGACACGCAGGTAAAACAAAATCCAACCAAAATTTTTATTCGACACGCCGGTACAAAAAGGTTCGCCATCCCTGACCTATGTCTTATAAACAGTTTCTACTGTATATATATTATAGATGTATTTCTAAAGCTCATGTTGATATGAAATATAAATATTTGGATAGCAAACAATTTTAATGAAAAGACATCATATTTTTATTAAAACATACATTTATTATACACAAAATATTTTAAATTATCTATATCAATATATTACAATATACATTCATATAAATAACAGAAATACCAAATTACCAATGGATATATTTCCTCTTGTTCAAATCAGAATATCAGTGATATCTTACACTTATTTACTGACTCTCCAATATAAGTAGAAAAAATAGAAATTTTTATTGATTTGCAATTCTTTAACCCAAATATCATCGAAAAATTATAATAATTTTTCCGAAAATTGGATAAGGAACACATGAATATTAATTTTTTTTTTAAATCAGAAATTAATAGTTAAAAAATTAGGAATATCACTAATTACGATAAAACGTCATCAATACCTAATGATTGTTTAAGTAATTGAGCCATGGTTTTTTTATCAGCTTCTTCATCATCTGCATCAAAATAATAATTAAAGTTAAATAATGTGTTCATAAATATAATCATATAATCCTTACCATTTCCACCACCTGTCACTTGTTGTTCAAGGTTTAATTTTTCTTGTGCCACCCTGAACATAGATTGTTCAATGGAATCTTTACTTATGAATTTAATTACACTTACAGGCCTAAGAAAAAGATAAATTATTTATTATTAAATGGTTATAATATTATACACATTTTATTTAAAGCTCACTTGGTCTGTCCAACTCTATGGCATCGATCTTCCGCTTGTTTATCATTATACGGATTGTAGTCAATGTCATGTAAAATGACTGTATCAGCAGCTGTTAAATTGATGCCTAATCCACCAGCTTTGGTAGACAATAAAAAGGCAAATATACTCTCATCCATGTTATACAAATCAATCATTAACTGTCTGTACATAGAATACACATACATGATTAACTCCTCTCCCTAAAATCTATAATTATTATCTTATACCTTTCTTGGACTTGGGTGGAACCGTCCAGTCTTAGATAAGAATGGCCACATTCCGACATGTATATTTCTAAAAGATCTAATACCGATAGGAACTGACTAAATATGAGCACACGGTGACCTTTATCTTTGAGATCGGGCAAGATTTCACTTAATAATTTAAATTTGCCAGAATCCAAAAACAATTGGATTGGAAGATCATAACCCAACTTATTAAGACACTGTAAAAGAGTTTAAAAATAATTTTGAGCTAACAATAGCTTGGAGTAAAAGTCAAATACCTCATAGTCAGTACACAATTTATGCAAATCAAAGTCTGATAAAAATGCTAAATCCTCTGCAATGAACTTTTCATTTGTTTGTTTGTATGATGGTTCTACTGCTAATAATGAAGCCATTTTGTACAATTTTTCATCCTAAAATTATAAATAAAATACTAATTAATTTAATATTTATAAATTATATAACCAAAGTATGTATATCATACCCTATAGTAAAATTAAATAATATTATCATATAGAAGTAATTAATATATTCAATAAAGAAAATTCAGTTATCATAAATTTAACATATTTTACAATTCACCACACCTGTTAATTAATTTTTAATATTAATATAATCTTTTACTCATCATCAATAATAAATAAAATTATCATGAATTTATCAATATATATATATGCTAATTGTTATACAAAATATAATTTAATAGAGACTATTTGAATAAAAAGGTAAAAAAAAAAAATTATAGAAAGTGTTTTTCATTCACTCCTTGGTCCATAATTTATGGTTAACAAATGCTATAAATAATATTCTTAGGTAATTGAGATCATAAGATAAAGTCATCAATGACCAATAAACTACATATTAACCACCCACTAGTTAAAACTATCATTCTTGTAACTTAGAAATCACTAAGCTCAGAATATGTTTTAGAGGTTATTTTATCAAAAAATAAAAATAAAATTGTATAAAATGAAATAGTTTTATCCTGAATTATGTTAAGGTTATTTTAAATCCTAAGGTAGTAAAAGTAGAAAATAATACTGTCATGCAACATATTTAAGTTAAAAAACTTAACAAACTTATATATTTTAGCATACATAAACTCAAGATAGATGAACTACAAGTTTGAATAATGATAAATTATGATACAAATAATTTATTATTTCCCCACCCTTAATTTAAAAGTTACTCACCTCAAAATGATATCTTAATAAAAGAGGATGATTAGTTAGTTTTCTTAACATCATAACCCACATCATATGACTGTTCTCAGTCGATTCTGATTTTTCTGATTCTGCTTTAATTTCATTTGTTAATGTGATGTAACGAGTATGTTGGTGTTCAGTCATAGCAACATTTCTGATTATAACCGTTTTCACAGGTAGGGATTTCAATACATCTGATTTCAAACGCCTCAACATAAAAGGCTCAATAATTTGTTTTGCTTGTTCAATACGATGCAATTCATACTTTGAACCAGTATTTTTCTAAAGTTTAATATATACATAAATATATTATTAAAACATTGAAATTAAAAAAATGTATTTATTTTGTACGCACTGTTCCTTTAGAAAACAAAAATTTAATGTTATCTACTTTGCCACGGAACATTGTTGGCATAAGAAATATTAACAGAGACATTAACTCTAATAAATTATTTTGAAGTGGAGTACCAGTTAATAATATTTTATAGTTTCCCTGCAACAAATAAATACATATTTAAAATATTATTTTATTACAAACACATTATAAACTTACATTAAAATTAGAGAAAGTTTCAAAAGACAGTGATGTCATATTCTTTAACTTATGTGCTTCATCATATACAATATAATGAAATTCTTTGGTTTTAAAGAATTTTTTCTCTTCAAACGAATTTGAAGCACAACTATAACTATAAGTACAAAGAAATGTTAACCGTACAAATACACATGTTTATTTTTATCTAATAATTATAAAAAAAAGATGTACGTTGTTAATATAACATCAATATCACCAAATCCTTTTTTTATCCACTGAGTTCGCAAGTATCTCCTTTCATCCATTGGTCCATGATATTTTTCAACCTTCATTGTTGGACACCATTTTTCAAACTCTTGATACCAATTTTCTAGAAAAAATAAATATGAAAAACATTAAGAAATAATGTTGTAGTTAAAAAAATTCCATCATTCATATTTAAATTTAAATACCTAAAGTCGAGGCAGGTACTACAATTAATTGAGGTACTTCAGGATGAGTCCGGCCAGACTCTTTGAGGTATGCTAAGAATGCAATTACTTGAATAGTTTTACCCAAACCCATTTCATCTGCTAACATCATGTTGAGCTTTTGAGAATTCATCAACATGAGCCAGTTAAGTCCTATCATCTGGTATCCAGCAAGCTGTAAGCTATGTTTGGTATTAGTCTGATAAAATAACTATAAAAATAACAAATATTGTCTTACTCTTTATTTAAACTGGTTGGCTGTGATTTAATAAGCATGTTAGTAGTTGTAATGGAATTTCCATTTTTTAATGCTAATTTTTCACATTTCTTCATTAGTTGTGTAACAATTTCTTGGCAGGAAATCATGTGCATAACGTTTTGTAAAGTTTGCTCACCCAACAATCGAGAGTTTTTTAACTTACATGTCTAAATAAAAGTATAATTATTAGGATCAATTATTATAAATCTAATAATTTATGTATATATAGTATATATTACACATGATTTTTACTTACCGCATCATACCAAGTGGAAAATGGTCGTAAGGCTTTGAGACCCTCAAATTTTTTTGAAGTCATTCCTTTTACTATTCTAAGTTCTGCTTCAGTGGCAGTGTTTAACAATTCTAAAGCTTTTTGTCGCATTTCTGTACTACTGTCTTTTACAAAATTCTTTTCACTAATTAAAAGAACAGTAATATTATAACAGCTATACAATTTTTAATTAAATTAAAAATAACATACTCTTTGTAATCATCATCAACTTCAGGATCAGAATCACTGTTATCACGATCTAGAGTTTTTATACGTTTTCTTTCTAAAATAATCATGAATATTGAAAACTTCAGATACTCTCAAAACCAAATAAATCAACATTTATAATAACTAACTTTTTATACATGAAACATCAATTAAATAGGTTTAGCAATTTTAGAACACATAAATGTTATAAACATTGTACTTATTATTATCTTTTATTCATGATATAAAGATATGAAATATATAATAAATAGTTAAATTTACTTTTGTTTTGTGGTTGTACTCGTTTCCTTGCTGGCATTGCAACAGGTGATGGATTTGTCGTTGAATTATTATGAACTCGATTAATATTATTTTGAACAGTTCCTGTATTGATTCTTTTCCATGGTCCATTCTTGCTTGTACTTCCTATACAATTTTTAGAAGTCTCAACCAAACCATTACCCATATTTGTCAAATTACTGGTATCATCATCACTAGATATGTAATGAGTTTCAGCAACATTATCATATTCAATCTAAACACATTCTCAATAATTAGCACATTTAAGACATAAATAATATGGGCAGCTTTTTTTACTTCTTCAATAAGATGAGATCCATTGATATCTTCTTCATCCGATGAAATCAAGATTAATGGTTGTTTTAATTTTTTAGTCATTTTCACTGAAACAAATAACTAAGTAATTAGTAATCCATTGTATTATGTATGACATAATAGTTCATATTTACTTATTACTTAAAAATGTAAATATTACATTTTATTAGTGGAGTTGAAGAAAAATATACTAATTCAACATAACTACCAAAAAGAAATAATTTGATAAAAATATTATAATA